TCTGTCTGCAACCTGCTCTGTCTCAGCTCAGGTTACCAACTACGGCCCCCAAAGTGGTTGCCTTTGTTTGACTTGTGAGGCCATTCTGTTCGATACTTGTTGTTCTTTCCATTGTGTTCATACGATGTTGATCTCAATGGGACTTCCTGGTAAATAAAGGTCGTTTCAGCCATAGTTCAGTGTAGGATCTAATTTTGTAGTGTCCATCTACTTCACAGCTGGTATCTTGCCTTGAGGTTTTTTCCTAACATGTAGGTCACTAAGAAGCTTTTCTATCATCCCGTAACTCTGTATTTTTAATATTATTTCCACAACAAATGTTATTTTTTATTCAGCGGATCTGTAAATTAAATGTCAGAGATCCTAGAGATATCCATGCAGAACCGTAATACATAGCACACGGTTCTGCATCAGGGCATCAGACTGATGCGCTGCCAGAACACGTGCAATATTTATTTACAGCCACTGATTATGTGCAATATTTCCTTCCACACACACACACACACACACAATTCAACACCCCAATACACCATCACTTCATAACTGTCGCACAGGTTGCAGATGATGCACCACTGTTGGTTGTATTTCATTGTTAATTTGATACTGCTTTACTTTCCACTTGTGGAAATTTGTGTGTTATTTTTTATCTTATACATGTGTGAATGTAAATGCATCATTTCACATCACACAGCTGTTTCATTGTGCTTGAATCTTTAACTGATCGAGGTCTTTGACTACATTCCGGGACTAAGTTCCAGTTCCCGGGACTAAAAAGGAGGTACTGATAATTGGTAGTGCTAGTCTTTTACAAACTACTTGACAAGAAACACGTAGGTCAACTGAGGTACGTGCGTGCTGTTGCGAGGAGGAATTGACACTTACCAGAAACACCCGGTAAGCATCTTTCCTGGTGACAGAGCCCCAGCATGGGTCTGTATCGTTGTACTTCACACTTCCAGCGCTGCAGGAGTGGTTTCCACTGCACAGGACACAAACAAACAGAGCTTAATGTGTAACCCCAACTTGGTGAGAACGCACACTACAGACCGAAGCGTGTCCCAAATGCCGTCAAGTTGATAATGAAAGTACGATGTAGTAGACGAGGATACAGAGTGCCACTCCTGACTCTGCTGCAGTTTTAATTGCTGAGTTGTATTTTTATGAATGTTTTTATGTTTTTTATGACGTCTTATGGTGAAAACTAAGACACATTTCCACACAGTTAAGTTTTGAGAAAAGAAAGAAAAAGAGTCTCTAAAATACTTGAATTAATTGGATTTTTACATTTAACTTAGTGAATTAGCTGTTCAATTATATTTCTCAATAATTCCTTATATCTTCCCTATAATTAGTTCCAAATAAGTTGATTATTTTCTGGAAACTTTGGAAGGAAATTATTATTAATGAATCATACAGACCCGTGAAATAAAGCGTTTAATTTTCCGACATTAGGTCTAAATGGTGTTTCAAATCTGTTTCTCCACACTGTCAGGAATAAAATGTATTAATTTATTAGAACCAAAAGTAGTCAGATTTGACTAAATAAGCCAAAAAAAATATATCAAACATGTTAATTAAATTTAACGTAACATTTAGCCCTGTTTGTTAGAGGGCTTTAATAGTGAAGCAGCTGAATACTGAATAAACAGCTCAAACAACCATTACAGGCTTTTATTAAAAGCATTGGAATATTCAAATTATTACTATTCGTGTTATCTGCTGTTGAACTGAGATCAAAGTCGTCTGTGATAGTGACACAAACTGATACATTTATCACAGATCAGATTATTTCCATATCTTGCATCAGAACTCTTCTTGTGTTGTTTGGTGTCAGATCTGACCGAGTTGTCAACTTAAAGTGGGAATATTTCAGGATGTGTCAACTCCTGCTGTTTCTGCTGGTTTTAGTATGTCGAGGTGTGAAAATGTCACAGAGAAAAAGATCACTTCACTCCCCCCGACGCCGAATGTAAGAAAGCGACCAATCAGACTCTGTTGAACTGTCCCGAAATCAGCCAATCAGGTGTTAACGCCACTGTTCTCCGGTGTGGCGGCCGGTGCTCTGAAACCGCTGCGTGCTGTCAGTTTGTGATTTGATTACGTCTGAGCGACCTGCTGTCTCCACCGGAGCGTCCAGCTGTCAGCTTCCACTGCTCGAACAACAGCACAGCAGACATTTTTAACTTTTTTACAATTTAAAAACGGTTTTATGTTTGAATTTAAAAGTGACATTACTCTAAAAAAAGACTTGATTTATAGAAGTAAACTGACAGAGAATGAATTCTTACAGTGTTACATGTTTTATGAAGTCAAAATATGATAAAAAATGCATAGTTTTATGAGTATTTTTCAGATTAGTTTAAAGAATTTAGAAGCGATCAATCATCAGTATAGGTGTAATTAGTTTCAGCCCCAATGAACACTAGATAGTAAATAAAATAAACATTAAGTATAATGAATATTAACAGCTTGTCCTCTCTTCGGTAGCTGCCTGAAAATGAGATCCATACACAATGGGACATTTCTGATTCATTTTTTCATTCGTTTTTATTCATAAACGAGTACAAAAAAAATAACAAAAAACACAAAATCTAAGCTGAATAAAATAATGTTGTTTTTTATATGATTGTGGGCCATATTGTGGTATGAGAGGTATACGTAGATATATAACATGAACAATTATGATCCCTCCGTGTCTCCGTACTCAACGCTGAGGATCTGATTCTGTGTCACGGTCATTAATCTCGCTGTCTCTCCCCCTCCAGCTCTCGTCCGGGCCGTCCTCCGAAGCGTTGTTCTGGTGCAGGGATCCAGGAAAGCCCCAGGCTGCTGCACCCGGGCCTCCCCGGCCTGCTGTCCCCCAACCTGCTGTCACACACCGGTAAGAGACTCTTTATTCCTCCATATTTCAGTCTTCAACGCCTTCTTTTTACGATCTCTGTGGAGTTATTTAGCTTTTTGTAACTGGGGCAACTTTTAATAATTGAAGAAAATGTATCTTCCCATGTAAATCAATGGGTTTTAAATGGGTTATTTAAGTTATGAAGTCATCCACATAGGAACACGTTTATCAACCTTTACTAACCCGGTGTGGCGGCACCTTTTGATAAATAAATGAACGCAGGTCTCAATTAGAGGCCTGGTCTGGATCTTACAGAAAATTTTGGGACGTATAGACAGTTAGCTTCTTTTATTAGCAACAAGTCCATCTGGAAACTCCATAAATCACCTCGGTACCGCCGTCGTCAATCCGTCCTCTGTCTGTCTCTGAGTTCACTGGGAGGCTGCTGAGCCCCGATCAGTTGCTGACGGCAGCTACATTAACAGTCAGAGGGAAAACCAGACAATATTCTCTTCATAAAATATAAAATCGGATCCAGTAAAGTTGTGTTTGTACAGTAATCAGTGAGCTAACTAATGAATCTTCACTCTGTGAAGATTGATTGAATGTTTGACATTATTGGTTGAAATCAGTTAGTTCATGCTGCTGTAAGCACGCGTCACATTCAGTTTTACAGGAAGACACAATGATTGAATTCTGATATAGAAATATAAAGAAATGTACATAAATGGTCAAATATGGGAACAATATAACTGAGGATGAGATCTTAAAGGGTTAAAATGACAAACGATGGAAAAGGAAACAGGTTGATGTCTCAGTCAGCTCTGAACTGTACGACTGTTTGCTGTCTGTTAAGATCAATATATTCTCTGGAAAATGATTTGTTAAAACACGCCAGTCCCTGGTACCACGACGCATATTAGTTGATTAATGTATGTTTCCTATATATGATTAGCTCACAAACACACACACTAAGATCAAAGCACCGGTTTGTGTAACTGTGTTTGAGCCGAAACGTGTGTGTGTGTGTGTGTGTGTGTGTGTGTGTGTGTGTCACTGTTTGCTAGTTCTTTCCTCAAGCTTCAGCGTATGCAAAGTGTCAAACGTAGCCTTGCAAAACAGATAATCAAGGGCTGGAGTTGGAATAAAAATGAAGTATTGTGTATGAGTGCAATTGTCTGTGTGTTTGTGTGTTGTCTGTAGGGGGCCCCCCCTCACATAGAGAGCAACAACAAGGAACAGCGAAGGGGCCAAAAAGAGCATTGGAGAGCTGTTGCAGTGTAGTGAGAGGGGTGATTTGGGATGGGATGGGATGGGATGGGCGTCACAGTTATTGTCTCTTCATCAGAGAGTGTTGATAGTAGTCAAGAAGGATCGTTATTGGGTCATTACTCGCTGAACGGGAAAATACGTGGCTAATAATAAAAAGACCTGGCGTTTGTTTACCATCGTCACTTTCCGGTTTTCTTCGTGCACTTTACTGATTCGTCTAGTTTAAGGGCTAGCACTCCACCAATTTCAGATTGGTTCATTGAGGCCGACGGCCGTGGCCGATTCTACATTGTCTTGAATCGGCCAAAATGAAGGCCGGAGCCGACGCTGACTGACGGCGGCACGGACACACCGAACCTGACTCGAGCTACCGACCTCGGCCTGACTGGTCCGACGCGGTCGACGACGGTCGACGGCGATTATCGGGTTGTGTGTGCGGAGGCCTTAAAGGGAGGGGGAGAGACGAGGCTGCTGGGGATGCTGGCAGAGGGAGAGCCGGGCTTGCTGGAGGAATAAACACCGGATTCGGGAGGCGTGTTTACCGGCAAGAGGAGAGCTCAGAGTTTATTTTTAAATTTTGGGATTAAAAGTGGAT